GAATACCTAGGATTACAATAGTGTCCTGGCAGCTTATAAGGTGAAACATGGTAGTATTATTTTACATAGTATAGTACAATATTATAACGTAGAATACATGGATATAATGTTATACAATCAATAATAAATTTGATATAATTTATAACAAGATATACTTCCAAGATAATATTGGCATATATTGGATATTAGATATATTGATATCAGTATCAGTTATCAGTCAAATGAGTTGTTAGATATCGGCGTGTCGGTTATTTGCAAAAAATCCAATATCGTGCAGAGATGTTGAAATACTATGTTAATACCCTTAATAGTCCGTTAATCACTAGGCATTCAGGAGGATATTAATCTGCATCTGCTCTAATAATCAATCAGTCATTTGGGTCATTTTTCATTCTCTGGTTTCAGCTTTTCATTAATCCTAGGGTCTGGGAAGTTGCGGCCATTTTCTATTAGGGCTGCAACGATTAGTCAACTTATCGATGACTAATCGACTATTAAAATAATCAATGACTATTAGTAGTTGACTAATCGGTTTGAGTCATTTCTCATAGAAAAGTACTATAAAAATACCCTCAAAATACTCTTCTTACGTTCAAATATTGGCAGCTTTACACACTCTTCCATGACAGTGGGTTAAAACCCTTTGGCGTGAGTACGAAACAAGACATTACATGACATAGTTTTGGGGTTTGGGAGAGACGGGCCGACATTTTTCAAAATTTTAACACATTTTTCGATAAAATGATTAGTCGACTTCAATTAGTCGACTAATCATTTTATCGAAAAATATGTTAAAATGAAATAATCGACAGATTAGTCGACAATGAAAATAATCGCTAGTTGCAGCCCTATTTTCCATATTTTCTGACATATTATTTACCAAACAAGTGGCTGAGAAAATGATCAGCAGATTAATCATTACTCAAATTAAAATAACATTGCACCCATTGTACATAGTTGTTGATAAGTGCTTTATGGTCCAGATGCTCTACAGCTGTTCCCGGGGGTTTTTGTTGGTAAAGGCTTTTCTCAAAGCCCAACAGCTTAAACTGTTCTCATTAGTGGCTTATATCTGATCTATAAAGGATTAGTAAATGATCTATTAACTTTATTAAAGCCGTTAGTCATATAACATATAAACCATTCATAAAGGGTGGAGTATTAGACAGTTGTTCTTTTTAAATCAAAGCCTGAAAATAAGTGAAAATTGTCTTACAAAATATATAAAGAAGAGATCAGCTGTCACAACATCCTTGACAATAAAGCTTCCTATTTACACTCTTGTCATTAAAAAGTGATTCTGACATTACCCAGAGTTTTCCTCCTCTGTTTGTCCCTTCAGATCCGTACGTGTTGTTATGGCTCGCAGTTGGTCGGAGGAGTTCTCTCCCGGAAGGCAGAAGCAGACGTGTCATCCCAGCGGCTCGGGCAACGTCTGCTGCTGTTTTCTGCTCAGCTCAGTCACTGCAGGACGGTGCTGAGGCTGTTTGATGATCTGTCCATGCTGGCTTACTCCCACAGCTACGGGTTTGGAGGCGGGGTAAGCAACACAACAACACTCTGCTCCATCCTATTTTCATTCTTTAATATTTAGCCAGGGAGGGATTGATTAGCTTCCATTACACTAGATGGTTAATTTAATTGTCTTTTTGGAAAGTTTAAAGAATATAAAAGGGTTCTCTGTTCGTGTTCTGCACAAAATGGGCATCTGCTATTGTACTGGATAGTAGGTAAGTAAGTAAGGGAACTTTATTTATAAAACACTTTTCAAAACCAGAGTTACAAGGTGCTATGCAGTGCAAACAATAGAAAGTACACAGCAGTCAAACACACAAATTATAACAACAATAAAAACTATACAGAAAACAAACAGCCATAACTGTTTCAAAATAAACACTGACTATTTTGTTCCCATGAAGCTTTGACAGTGGTTGTGTTTGCTAAGACTCAGGATACACTGTTGATTATTTTAAAATAACAAACCTAAAGTTGTTTAATCTTTGTTAAAATGGCACAATGCTCACATTTTACCCATCAGCACTGCAGTAGATGTTAATTTATGAGTACAACATGGACAATTTTTTAAAAAAAACACATCATTAGTTACCTTTTCTGTGAAAACAATACTGATCTTGCAAACGATGATGTGATACATAAACACACAGTTTCACCCTGTAATATGCAGCATTAATGCACGTGGCATAATGTCTCCCAAAGGAAGAGGACGCAGCTGTGCGCTGGATCTCGGTGCTGACCAACATGGCTGACCAGCTCTACTACCCCTCTGAACACATCGCCTGGGCCGCTGACGCCGAGCTCATCAAAGTCAAGTCTGACAAGTGGTGGCTGTTCAGCACGGTGCTGTGGGGGACTTCACTGCTGCTGGGAATACTCAGGTCTGAGGTCGTCTGTACACACACGTTAAATCAAATCTGACGGAAAACACTGATTTAAAATTAAAATGCCAGAAAGGCAAGTGTCACTTACATGCTGATTCAAATTAATATTTAATTACTGCACTGAATATAAGGATAAGGCTGGAAAAAATCCACCATGTTGTTCTACAGTAGCCCAGAAGGGACAATCCATACACTGGCTCTACATAGGAAATTTGTGTTCATCCAAGCATTTACACGCTTGTCACATGGGAGAAGTTTTTGTTCTGCAACCTCACTGCTAGATGCCGATAAATCTTGTACACTAGATCTTGACTTGCAAAATGCTGATCATGTTAACAAAATAATTTGTAAGATTGAGCCTTGACTTAGTCACCTGCTTTACTTGCTGAATTTGGAGCAAATGGCCATGAAACACAGTCAGTCTGAGCTGAAGTGTGATGTGAATCTTTTGCTCCTCAGATCACTCCGCGTTCTGCTGCTACTGAAGAAGAAGCTGAGGAGATGTGAAAGGGATGGAGAAGGCAACAGGTGTTGTATCTACAGTTTCCTTTCAAGTGTTTACTCTCTTTGCCATTAGTCTAGAGGAAGACAAAATGTTCTGATGAACCGCTGTGTTTTTCTCCCGCAGTCGCTCTCAGCTCCGCAGACAGATGCGAGGGGAGGCCCTCTCCATCCTCAGCAGCATGGCTGACCTCAGTAACGCCATTCACTGGATGCCGCCCGGCTTCCTGTGGGCAGGACGATTCCCTAACTGGCTGGTGGGGCTGATGGGCACCATCTCATCTCTGATTGGTTTGATTCAGATGAATGCCGGAGATAGTGATGAGACAGACAGCGCATAGTCTTCACCTCACAGTGAGGAGTAGCTCAGGTGAATGAATCATGTGTACTGGTGGAAAATGCTGAATGAAAGGATGAGCGGCAGAAATTTACTGTGATCAGACTTCAGTCTGACTGTCAGTGGAGTTTAATGTCTATTTTGAACTGAAAATGTCTGAAAAAGATAAAATCATCTTGACCTAATACTAGTAGAGTTGTAGCTAATCATCCAAGTGCTTCATCAGATGTGACTGGAAGCCTCTTGATCTTCAGTTCAGTCAGTCATCGAACAGTTTGCGGAGAGACTTGATGATGAGATTAATCAATCGAATGTACCTTTACTAAACTCGTCTTTCTCAGTGGCATCACAATCACACAAATTGAATTTATTTTCAGCTCGTGTTGTTACATGCAGATGAAAGTATTCACATAGCATTTTAGCATGGTGTAGGGTTTCCTCAGAAAGCAGTATTCGGTCAGCATCACAACTAAGTCCTAATGACATTGTAGTTAACTGGGGGCAGCTCCTGGATAAATCAACTTATTAAGCACATTAAGTACCTCCTACTTACTCTACAGGGACAGCAGTGGTTGTGTTTAGAAATTAAAGCTGTGTAGATACAATGAGATTGTGGGAAGAGTGGTAAATTGTTGCCTTATGTGCATACACACTCCATACACCTAATGTTCAATCGTACATTCTTTCTTCTACAGTGCAGATTCATAAATAGTGGATTAGTCATTTCACTTTTTTTTTGTGATTTTTACAAGTGGGTTAGTTGGATCATTTAAGTAAGAATTAGATTTCTGTCACATCATCTTTAAAAGGACCAACTTAAATGTTGTAATATCCTCAAGCTACAGCACAGTAACTGTAGTCATGAATAAGCTCCTCTGGTGTTGAAATAAGCTTATTTGTGTTTGAGAATCAGTAGAAAACAGCCCACAGTTACACTAATAAGGTTTTATATGGAAACAGTCTGTGTCACTGGTGAAACGAGACGGAAGCTGCCTGGAGTCAAATGTTATTTCAATTATGTAAACTAATTTTTTAAATAAATTGAGTTGTCTGTGCTCTGTTGGATCGTTTTGTGGGTGTTTGATTGAGCAGGTCTGAAAGGCTCAACATGACGTGTGCAACCGTTGCCTTCAAGTGCTGACGGACGGATCCGGATTGAAAATACGGGTACAGCAAATTATACACCGTGTGGTTGCATTTGTATTAAAATAAATAAACATGCTCCATGTTTGTATTTTCGATCAAATACGAGTTTTTTAGTAACTCGGTATATGATAAAGAGCTGTAAATAAAGTTTGCTGTTAAGTCATGCGTTTAGGTGCACAGAAGAGAAAGTAGAAACCAAGACACTGATGAGAAATCGGAAGCTACAACCGTACATGAACGCAGCTTAGCAACAGAGTCAGCGAATAAATAAAAGCTGTCGACTCGACAGTAGCAGCAACAATGACAAGAAAACTATATTTTTTATCGTGACTGTTTTTCACTCTTGTTTCATGTGAGCCTGCTACATTCACCGAGGCTGCCGTTGTTAGTATGACGAATAAAACAAAGCCAAAGTTTTGGAAAAGACTCAAATCTCAAACCACGTCAACTCATCTGTCGTGGCTCCCAGAGGAGTCTCTGTGTGTGTGGGCACAAAGGAACCGAGAAAGACCTCAAATATCAGGTGAGAGCTGATTTATTAGCCTTTTAAACCACATTATTTTACCACACAAATAACATATCTTGCGAGTTAGCCCCTGTTGGGATGCTGCGGTTTGTAATTAGCTAACTAGTTAGCATTGAGCTACTGATGGCTAACTTTAGAAAGCAAAACTGAGCTGAAACTTAATGTTATCTGACTCACATATTAAAATTGAAACGTTATTCAAGTTCCTGCTGTTTTATTAGTTCACAGATACCGTTAGTTTTCTTAACAGCCAGCCCTCATTACTTTGCCCCACTATGTTCTGCCTTACAGCTATGAGCAAATTCCAGTTCCCATTAACATTTCCTCTATTTTAAGTTTTGCTGTTATTTCCAAGCACGTGATAAAGGTCAATATATGACAATTTTTCGGAATAACAGGCAACTCTTTAAACCGCTAAAGCATCATCCACTTCATCGTAACATCGCACTGTGTGTCTGTTATTTTGGGCTCTCGGGATTTTTCGTCTCTGAAACAACATGACTGCTTATTTGTGAGCCTGTATGGTTTTGCTAATTAAATGTGGACATATATATATATATATGTATATGCCGAATTTACCAGAAAACCTGCCTGATTAATAAAATGACGTTTAAATGTTGTTGGAAGAGATTTTTATATTTGCAAATTCAGAATACATTGTAAAATTGCAGATTTTTGAATGAGGTTTGGTTCGCTCTATGTCATGCACGGGGAACATACGTCACCTTTTCCTCCAGGTAGTTTATTTTACAGTGTATTAATATATATGTACTGGCAACTGAATTACCTGCATTGAAATCTTTCATAGATAAAAGGGGTCTGAAGTTGTGTGTTAACAAAGGGTCTATTTGATGGTTACACATACTGTACACGCTGTCCTTGTACTTTGAGCTCTAGACTGCTTTCTCTATCTTGATGGTCATGGTGTTACATGATTGTAATTAAGATAGTGCTGGCTTAACTCATGGCATCTACTAGCACTAAAGACATTAGTGAGACAATTGCAATTGCAGTTTGGTTCACATCAATTACTTTTTCTTATGTTTTATGACAATGCCATGCATGTAGTTGGAGACTAAGTGAACCCATTTCCAGATGACCTCTTAAATCAAACTTTTCCTCTGACAGGCTTTCTTTCAAAATGAACTCAGACGTCTGCCCCGCTGATCAGTCTGACTCCTTGTGCCCTGTCACTCTTCCTGTTGATGGAGCCTCTGAGGTTAGCAGACAGACTGTGGCAGCTCCGCCAGGTTCAGAGGTGGAGGATGTGGACTCCTTCAACCTGATCGAGCCTCCTCCATTAGACTGGAGGTCAGACTCTTCCAGTGAGGTGGGCTCAGCGGATGATCTGGATGACCCCAGCTTCCCTGCCTCCATTGACAGTCTGGACAAGAGCAGTCCAAGCGTGAGTGACACTGTGGCTCCACTTGACATGAACCAGCAGGAGCTTGTAGGAAGTATTGCAGAGCCAGTCCACGATATTGATGTGGAATTGGAAGGAGAGGATGAAGAAGTTGAGGAAGAGGAAGAGGTGAGGGGTGAGGACTTGAAGGATGTTGGGGAATACCAGGAGCAGGAGGAGGTTACCTTAAGTGATGTGGAGAATAGGGTCGGTGAGGAGGAGGCTGCCAACAGGAGAGCAGGTGATGAAGACCACAGCCGCATCCACACACTGCTCAGCCAGCTGCAGCTCATGGGGGAAGAGCCTCATCCCAATCGCCAGACACCACCTCACCTCGCCCAGCATCACTACCCCAGCCTGTCTGAGCTGGAAGCGTGTGCTCCCTCTCTAATAGCAGACGACAGCACTGAAACCACAGGGCTGCTGTTCTCTGAAAGCCACCAGAGAGACCTGCTGGGGCTGCTGCAGTTCACAGAGATCACAGCACCCAGTCCCCCCTGTCTGCCCCGCAGAGGGGACATGGACGCTGTAGTGTCTGTTTCCTACAGCCAGGAGGACGCTCAAAAGTTCTGGGGGCATTATGGGAATGGTCAACAGCAGAGGCACAGAGAGGACTCCCTCGCTTCGCTGCCTGATGATGAGTATCCTGAGCCAGTGTGGATGAAGATGGGCGAGGAGCCTCCGGAGGTAGAGGAGGCTGCTGCGGACAGCGAACAAGTTGAGGTACTATTATTATATCCATCTTAAGAAGTATAAATAAATTCCAAGTTAGTTATGTTAAGACTGAATTATTAATTTTCCCAATTCCTCATGTAACTTACAGATGTTTCAAACTACTTATTGTGATGTATGCTTATTTGTCTGTGTGATTTCAGCTTAAAGGAGCGCCACAAAAATTTAAATCAAAGTAGATTTATTGCATTTGTAGAGGTTTCATCAATGATGACATTTAATTGTCGGCTGTAATTTCTGTTTTGACTGAAACTGATGAGATTCTGTGACCCAGTACCAAACTCCCTTAAAAGATTGTTGCGTTTTGTGAGTTGTTGAGTGGTTAGGATTAAGATTTAGGGGCTGGGTCATGGATTCATGCACCATGCACCTCAGTCTTGACAATTCATTAATTTCTGTTTCTGCTGTTGTTGCAGAGTGATCATCCTTCATATAAAGATGGTGAGACGCTCCAGCGCTCTTCTTTGGTTTTATAAAGATTAGCTGGATTTTTTTTTTGTTTCACATGTCATTTAAAAGAAATGAGGCCATGTCTTTGTGTATGCTGATGTGTTTTTCTCTTTCAGTGCCTGGTCCGTGTGACCCTGAAGACCTGTTGGATGGAGTGATATTTGGTGCGAAGTATCTGGGCTCTACTCAGATCAAATCAGAGAAGAATCCATCTACAAACGCCCGTATGACGCAGGCTCAGGAGGCTGTGGACCGCATCAAGGTGAACTCAACTAAGAGATGCTCACAGTGGACACGGAAACACAGCAGTGCCATGTTGCTGGATCAGGGTTACCTTGGATCCTTAAAAAGTCTTTAAAGAATGCCTGTTGTATTAACGTCACGCAGATCAGACTAGCCGAACCAACAACGGCAAAAAAACTCCTCGGCAGACGCCAGCTGTGATGTCTCTTAATGTTTTTTATTTTTCTCTTAACTTTTTTTTTATTGCTTAGTGGTCTTAAATTTCATTCCTTGTGGCATTACATAGATCTTAAAAAGTTTTAAATCTACTTTGCCTTAAGCTGTAGGAACCAAGGTTTGTTCTAGTGAAGGATTTTTGATATATAAATTTTTTTTCTATCATTGTATTAGCTGGATTTATTTTAATGTTGTCATCAGGATATCAGTGAGACTGTGTTTGTTTCAGGCTCCAGAGGGAGAGTCACAGCCAATGACAGAGGTGGATCTGTTCATCTCCACACAGCGAATCAAAGTTCTCACTGCTGACACACAGGTGTGTTTTTCTAAATGCTCAGACAAAGTTGTATGAATGAAATTTACCTCATAGCTTTGAATTTCTTTTTCTAAATTTGGGGGGATTTTTTGGACCACATTATTGTCTTCATTGTAAGGACCTGAAGTTTTCGCTCTCAGCTAGAAAACGTTTTCAGTATTAGTCTCTACTAACACTTGGAATGGAATCACAGTGGCTTTCAGGTTGTGGGATGGATCTCAGTTATCCAGATAACATGATTATAATAGTGTGAACAGGTAGGTTACAGCTATGTACAGGTTTTGAATTAAAATCTTTTAGCGTCAAATAAAATTCATAACCATGTTTTAGTTCATCCAGGAATATGTGTGGGTATTTTCACTGGGATGGCTTAGTCAACAACGTGCGATTGGAGGAGTTATAGAATTAATATGCCAAGATATGTCAGAACCAAGCCCTGCTTAGATATCTGCAGCTGCCCAAAATAAACAATGGACACACATTGTTTTTCCCAACTTGGTGTTCTACCTGCTCCCTCATCATGTCCATGAGTTAAATAACTAAAATGTAATTCATTCAGGATTTTATAAAAGCATGCATTAGTGAACGTCTCTTTTATGAGGCAGCAAGTTTCACCCTCATGCTGAGCTCTGGCAGCAGGAATCCTTAATATAGAACTGAATGGTGATTTAATACGAGAGCTCTGCAGTAATGTTGCAGTTATAGTAGAGTCTATTTTCTCCACCACTATGTGGTTGAATTGTCAGGGGAGTCAAAGTGGGTCATCTACTGTCAGCTCCCACTTTGTGTGGCAGGCCAATGCACCATAATAGTGGAATATGGATGTTTGAAAACCTTTTCTTTCTTTTTTTCCTTTCTTTTTTTTCAATTTTTCAACACTGGTTTCAGTTTTAAATTACAAATAATATTATTGACTATTTGAGCCACTTAGTTTTGATACTTTATTTTTTAAATGTCATACTGTGACCTTGACTTTTGCAATACAACTTGTATTCAGACAGAGAGTTGCCTGAATTTTGGTTAT